AGTGCGACCAACTATTCGGCCGAATACGAATAGTGTATCATCATCATCAGGCGCCTTGTCGATTGGCGTTGGCGATTATGCCCTGACACAACATGTGATCTCATGCAGCATGTATCCTCTTCTTCTTTAGCATTCTGAGGTTTACTGGTGCAGATATCATTCGTCTCCATTCATCTCTCTGGCTGGCCTTCTCTTCACAATTTGTGACACCAGTTGTTTGCAGGTCTGGCTGGACATTATCTCTCGATCTTTTTGTGTGTGTGTGTGGGGGGGGGGGGTCTATCTCGTGGTCTACGCCCATTCATCTCTCAGGTGTATAGTTTTACTTCTCTGTCATCGGACATTCTTTCAATATGCCCTAACCATTTTATTATGTTAGCTCTCATAATGCCAGTGATCAATGGTGATTTAAACAGATTATGTCCTACGTTGTTGCTTCTCACTCTCCATTCCCCGCTGTTAGCATCTTCGATGGGTCCACAGATTTGTCGTTAGACTGTTTTCGAAAACCTGTAGTAAGGTCTCATCTCTTTTATTTCTGCTTCAAGTTTCAGAGCCATACAAAACGACTGGTCTTATCAACGTTTTATATATTTTAATTTTGTTGTTGCGAGACAGACACTTTTACTTTAGCAGATGTTTAAGGGCTTAGTATACTTTTTTTTCTAGATTGTATTCTAGATTGTATTTCTTCTCTCAGCATGTTGGAGCAGTTGAAGTTTGCACCCAAGTACTTATATGTTTCTGTGATTTTAATATTATCGACTTGGATGTGGCCGGAGTTTATATTCTTTCCATGTCCATTTTATGTTTTGCACCCTTCAGTCAGTCTGTGGTAACTAATAACTAGGAATGAAAGAATCCGAAGTATTATAACAAGTAACTAAACTTGGAAAATGTCACTGACAGCTCAGTTAATGCAGGAAAGCTGCATTAACTTTCAGCAAAACCAATCGTTTCATGTTATCAGCATTAGGGCCGTGTATGCAGAAGCGGGTGTAAGGTAACTACTATTCGTATTCGGCTCGACCGCAACTATTCGGCCGAATACCGAATAGTCAACAGGTCCACTATTCTGCCCCGAAGCGAATACGAAGCGAATATTCGGTACAGCCCTACTAGTTAGTCGCCTTTTACGACATGCTCATTAAGGGATGGTGTGTGTATTCTTTCTCCCACAAAATGGGACCCTAGAACCCCATTCTATGCCCCCACACACTACAGGGGATAACCAGTTGCTTTCCTTGGTGTCTTTATAATTGATATAATTCCCCAGAAGATTCTGAAAATTGTCAAGGTACTGGATTATGACGACGATCCCCCGATAAGAACGTAGACTGTCATCCACCTCACATCAAGACATCCAGTCCTTTGCGAAAATGACTGGATAGAAGAAACATTTGGGAACATCAGAACTAACCAAAGAAAAGCATACTGCTACAGTCAGCAAACAAAGGGAATAGATACTATAACGACAAGTGCTTTCCTTCCGGACACTGTCCTTCTGTCGAGTCCGGACACACGGGAGAAGTTCAAGTGGACAAACAAGGGCCGGATAACCACATCTGCGAGTGACCATGGTCATCTGTAAGTGCTGGTTGTATTCAAGTGATATTAGCCTTGAAACGTCTCGACGAGTGAGAAGATGTTACATACATACAGTCCACAAGTGTTCGTCAAAGTCGGTATAAGTTCAGACAAAGAGACATGCATGATTACTCACGATTGTAGTAATTATTACAATTTTCATAATCAACATCACTACCAACTCATCTACTACAACCACCACCACCAGCATCGTCATCATCTGACACATTTTTCGTCAAACATGTGAAAAAAGACCATTTGGTGGTTCAGCCCTTGATGTCTTTCTGTTGAAATTTACTTTACTTTTATGTTATTAATCCATATTTCTTCTTCGATGCTTGTTTGTTAACGTATCAACTCTTCATTGACATAGCGCCTGGGATAGTAACTGCTGTTCCTCCTATACCAGAATGTGTCGAAATCACTTGATCCTCTTATCCTCAGTTTAGATTACACAAAGTGTCGTTACCTCATTTTCTCGTTCTGGAATTATGTTGTTCATAACAATAGCCTTAACCCACTGCGGGCTGCGTGGATTTTTATCGTGGTATGGGACGTCTCAGGTCGACCCAGCCTCAAATGGGTACTAGGATGGCTGTCCTGGGGAAGTAGAGACGACCGGCGTAATGCTGACCACATTACCCACCGAGTGTCGATTGGTCTGTAAAAATATGGCTGCTCTTCCGATATGCCCGATGCGCCTAAAGGCGTGAAAAGGGAACTTTTACTAATAATAGCCTAGAAAGCCTCCAGTGGTTACACTCTCCCAATGATGTCTCCAGACGTGTTTCTTTGATGTAGTGTAACTGAGTTCTTCAAAGTCCATGTTTTAGATCGGTATTATAGTTTTGGTATCAGTATCCTACCGACAGTCATGATTTTTGATTGCTATTGGTAATTGCATATTTTGGGTTTTAAATTTGGAAATTGGAAGTAATAATAGAATATTTAGTGTATATAATGAATAACGACTTTTAACCAGAAGTGATATGGAATATGCACAGTGAGCTAGGAAAATGGTAATTTGTTCCGTAAAGACCATCTCCTACTCCACTGCTGTGTAGAAGATGCGTGTTTGAAAGGGCCGAAAGTAAGACAGGCCTGCGTGCCACATTTGTGTCTTCCTGGCAATAAATAAATAAAGCTCTTTTATTCAAATCTTCTTCTTTCTCCTCATCCTCGCCCTCTCCTCATTCCCCTTCTTACCCTTCTCATCATCATTTTGTCCCGACGTCTACACAGGTAAGCTAGAATACGGACCCTTATAACAACAACCAAGGGATGTTTTAAATTAAAGGATCACTTGAGCTACCCACCTCATTATGGAATTTGTTTTTGGCTGGGGGGGGGGGGGGTTGCGGGTGGGGTGGGGTGGGAAAGGGGGAGATGAGGCCCCCTCTGCTTCTCTCCCATCTGCCCCCCCCCCCCCTTCCTCCTCCTCAGTAGTGTCCTTGTGACGACGTACTTAGTACCCAATAATGAAAATAAACCTTTTTTTTAATGCCTTGAAGATGTTTTAAAACTATTGCCCTTTTACATGTTAGTTGCGTATCCTATACAGGACTTTGCAGAACCAACCCCAACATATTTAGCTGTGGTGGTTTTCCTAGGCAAGTTTATGTCCAGCAGTTTGCCATTGCTTTTTGGACGATCGGCTTCTAGATACCACTGTCGAAACCAAGGCAAGGCGCAAGGCCCGCAGCTGGGATCGAACCGGTACCCCGGCATTGCAAAGCGCGTTCGTAACGCATAAGCCACAGACGCCTAATATTGCCCTGCAGAATGTAAATTGTATGAGCGGATGTTGACAAACTGGTCATCTGAAGTGCTTCTGACATGTAGATTAAGCAAGGATAGAAGTACCCAGTAAGTTATTGTTGTTGGAACCTTCGCGACTTTCCAGAAGATTGTTATATTGTGCTATGAAAAAGCTTATGACTCACAGTCCATGACTATGGCTAATGTAAACAGCAAATGCGATTAGAAAACTGACACAATTAGAACAAGGGATTTCAGGACCGTTGTTGCCATCACATTTATTGAGCTTGCTTCTGCTCAGA